TATATATATATATATATATATATATATATATATATATATATATATATATATATATATATATATATATATATATATATATATATATATATATATATATATATATATATATATATATATATATATATATATATATATATATATATATATATATATATATATATATATATATATATATATATATCTATATATATATATATATATATATATATATATATATATATATATATATATATATATATATATATATATATATATATATATATATATATATATATATATATATATATATATATATATATATATATATATATATATATATATATATATATATATATATATATATATATATATATATATATATATATATATATATATATATATATATATATATATATATATATATATATATATATATATATATATATATATATATATATATATATATATATATATATATATATATATATATATATATATATATATATATATATATATATATATATATATATATATATATATATATATATATATATATATATATATATATATATATATATATATATATATATATATATATATATATATATATATATATATATATATATATATATATATATATATATATATATATATATATATATATAAAGAAAAATACCGTTATCAAATTTACCATGAACAATTTTTTTTAATTAAGAGAATACTTAATACGCTTACACTTTCACAAAAAAATGACAAATAAATAAAATACTACAAAACATTTACTGAATAAATCTTTGCAGAAAGCTCATAACCATAAAAGAAAATAAATATTTAAAATAGTAATATATTTTTAATCAGTTTGCATTCATTTAAAACATATATTTTATTAAAAATGGACATAAAAAAATAAAGTACAATGTAAATTTAATCTCCTAAATATAAAGACTTACCAAATATTGCTGCAATCAGATTTACCATAAAAATTAATAAATAACATTTTATTTTGTTCTATTCTATATCTACAAATATTCATTTAAAAATATATGTTAAAATAAATAAATTGATTTACAAAACACAATAAATATTATAAATAGCATAACAATAATACAATTAATTAAAATTGTTTTATGTACAAATATAATAATATAAATATTCTACGCAACATTTTTTAAAATGTTCAAACATTACAAAAACACAATAAATTAATATGTGTTAATATGCTTTTATAGGGCGGCATGATGGCTCAGTGGTTAGCACTGTCACCTCACAGCAAGGTCACTGGTTTGAGCCTCGGCTGGGTCAGTTGGCATTTCTGTGTGGAGTTTGCATGCTCTCCCCGTATTGGCGTGGGTTTCCTCCGGGTGCTCCGGTTTCACCAACAGTACAAAGAAATCCACTATAGGGGAATTGGGTAAGCTAAATCGTCCGTATTGTATGTGTGTATGTCCTGGTCCTCCAGGTTGGGGGGTTGAGCGTTGGGCTAGCGATCCACCTTGTAAAAAATAGTTACTACAAAACACCAACATGGTGCGGCCAAAAAATGTACTTCGATATAAAACGGCCCTGGGTGTAAGTGAGTAATAAGTTGTTATTATATAATTCCATATTTACTGGACAAAACTCTAGAAAAACTCTTTTTTTAAATAATTATAAAGTTTATTTAAGAAAACAAATGAAATTATAACAATGGTGGATATATTTTGTAGATATTTAGAAGACAAAAAGTTTAAAAAAATACTTGAACAGAACAAAAATCAATAAATAAATGCATTTATTTCATATTTACTGGGAAAACTCTGGAAACAAATATTTTAAAAGTGTATTTAAGACAATTCTATTAATGCTGGTTATATTCTGTAGATGTTTATGAGACAAAAAGCTTTAAAAATACTTAAAACAAATACTGAAATTACAAATCAATAAATGAATGAACAAATAAAATCAGTCAATCAATCGATCAACAGATAAATATGTACCAGACAAAGCTCTCCAGAGGAACTCGGAAAGTAAGAGCAAGCAACTCATTCTGCCTTCATCATAAAGATAATTATAGGTAACTAATTAGGTTGTTAATCCCTCGTTAGACATGCTTTCTGATAAGAAAATGAGCAGATATTCATAAGCAGGAAGCAAGCCAGATTTTCATTCTGATTTTCATTTCAAGCTCAGGTTTTTATTCGGACAATGCAAGAGGAAGAGCCAGTAAAACTGCAAGGATGGAGCCAGAAGGCCAGAAACTGCTGCAGTGAAGGTTAGCAAAAGCTCCAGCAAAACTACGCCCACTGAGCAAAGCAGGAGCCAATAGGAATCAAGCTAGAGAAATGGACATATTTACCATTGGGTAACAGCTGTGGCTGCAGTGGCTGATGTTGGGCACTCCTTTCCTCTGCACACACACACACACATTACAAAAACACGGCTTAGTCTTGAATTTGAAAAAAAGAGTTTAAAAAAAAGTTTAAAGGTGTAAAAAAAAAAAAAAACAGCCTGTGCAGTCAGATTTATATTTTAGTTTGCCTTTCTGCTCAAACAGACCCTTTTTAAGGCACCAAGAGGAATTTATACGACAAAATAGATTATAAAAAGTGGCTTTGTTTTTGGTACAAATATCTGAGCATTCATAAATTAAGATACATCTCTTAGAGAGAAAACTACGTAAGTCTTGTTTTCAGTAAATAAATAAATAAATAAATACATAAATAAAGGATTTTTGAGGGAGTCTTAATTCACTTGTTTCTTTCTTCTGTTGAACGCAAATATATATTTTGAAGAATGTTATAAACTGGTAGCTACTTCACCAGGTTGGTGACCATATAAGGATGTCCACTATTTCCATGCATAATTTGAAGCATGGGCGTTGCAAGGTTGATTTTAGAAAAATCCTAATTATATTGCAAATTTGAAGATGAAATATAAAATACAAATAAAATAAAATAAAAAAATCAAAAGAACCAATTTTACTCAAAATTTTAAATGGATATCTCAAATAATAAAATATAACAAAACCCAAAGAACTAATTATAATCCAAATTTGAAGGTAATACCTTAAAAAAATTATAAAATAAATCCAAAGTACTAATTATAATTAAAATTTTATATCTTAATAATGATAATAAAAAAATAAAAATAAAAAATAATAATAATAATATTAATAATAATAATAATAATAATAATAATAATAATAATAATAATAATAATAAAAAGGTTAAAAGATTTAGTTTTTGTGCAGTACTAAACATCACCACCAGGTTGGCAGATTGGTGTCCATAAAAGGGCGTCCACTATCACTGTGCAGTTTGAAGCATGGGTGACGCTAGGTCGATTTGACAATATTCCAAATTATAATTCAAATTTGAAGTTAAAATATCAAATAATAATAAAAAAAATAATCCAAAGAACTAATTATATTCTAAATCTGAAGTTGATATCTCAAATAATAAAAATAAAACTAATACAATTTAAATAATTAATTATATTCCAAATTTGATATCTAAAATAAAAAAGGTTGAGAGATTTAGTTTGGGTGCAGTACCAATCATTACCACCAGGTTGGTACATCGGTGACATATAAGGGCGTCCACTATTTCTGTACATGGTTTGAAGCATGGGTGTTGCTAGGTCAATCTTAGAAAAATCCAAATTATGAAGTTTCTATCTAAATAAAATAAAATAAAAAATTCAAAGTACTAATTATATTGCAAATAAGAAGTTGAGATCTCAAATAATAATAAAAAAATCTTAACAATTACTTATATTCCAAATTTGATAGCTCAAATAAAAAAGCTTGAACGATTTAGTTTGGGTGCAGTACCAAACATCACCACCGAGTTGGTAAACTGGTGACCATATAAGGGCGTTCAATATTTCTGTGCATGATTTGAAGCACAGGCATTGCTAGGTTGATTTTAGAAATTTCCAAATTAGAAGTTGACATCTCAAATAATAACAAAAAAATTCAAAGAACTAATTATATTCCAAATTTAATATCTTAATAAAAAAAAGTTGCAAGATTTAGTTTGGGTGCAGTACTAAACATCACCACTAGGTTGGCATATTGGTAACCATATAAGGGTGTCCACTATTTCTGTGCATGGTTTGAAGCATGGGTGTCGCTATAGGTCGATTTTAGAAAATTCTACTCAGCCTCCTCTATAAAAATTTGGAAAAATATATATTCGGAAGTTTCTCCAAGGATATATCGTTTTATCATGATTAGGATTTAATTGCAATATAGTGAAGTAAACAAAGCGGTAGTTCACTGAAAAATTAAGATTTACTCAGGCTCAATTGGTTCCAAACATTTAAAGGTTTCTGTCTTCTGTTGAACACAAAAAAGAAAGCTGTAAACATGTAAACATTGACTTCCACTTTTAGGAAAATAGCATGGAAGTCAAGTCACAGGTTTCAGTGTTAGTCTCTACATGCACGGACAGGACATCAGCAGTGAACGCGGATGTTAGTGAGTGTGAGTTTGACTGCAGACACACACACATTTGACTGTAAACTCTGGAAACGAGCAGGAGTGAAGGAGATAATCTGCCAAACATCCTCCCTGAATTCAATCACTTACCTGAGCTGTGAGATCACACTTAAACTCTACACAAACTGCCAAAAATCACTTCCTTCCTAGGTGCTGTCTTCCAGTATATAAATGTGAACACTTATAACAAAGTTTTCATCATGAGAAGCAACAGTTGGAAACACTTTCAATGATGGCGGTGTTTATTATACTGTCATGACACCTTTATAATCATGCAATTACACATTTCATAAATATGAGTGCATGCTTACGGCAAGTGTCATTCACTAAGTTTCCATTTAAAATGCAAAGATGACAGTGTGTGGTGTCTTTGCTATGCAACTTGACTAGCAAGACAACATAACTTGTCATAAATCTGTCATCAACATGATTAGGCCATTATTATTGTGTCATTATTATTGTGTGTGTACATTTAAATCAATTAATACTCATTAAGTACAGATGCTCCAAATTTCAAGCCAGAATTACAGCCCAAAGTTATGGAGGCACTTGTAATAATTAGTTTTTCTTTTTTTTAGTTTTTCTTTCTTTAAAAAAAAAATCTAATTAATTCACAAAGTTTAATTGAAACATTTAATTTCGCTTTGCTTTTTTGTAGTGCATCAATTAAACAAATAAACATACAATACAGTTATGTTAAATTAGCGACGGTCTCTGTTGAAGGCATTCACGGTTATCATGGGCTAACTTTGGCCAACGGGCCCTAGTTTGGGCATCTCTGGTTTAGCAGAATGCTTTAATCACGCAGCAAAACATATTTTAGTTCAAAAGAGAATAAGAGAATACTCGTTTACACTAATACGTTTTAGTTTTAAAACACGTACATTTTGCTACGGTTATGCCATCCGTGCAGACATTCGCCTATCTGTTTGGGGCTTTTTCCTCAATATTAATAGCCTAAACAAAATTTAGTCTTGCATCCTTTCCTTGTATGTTCAGACTTCGCAAGTTTGATATGGAAAACAATCTCCCGAGGATGCGTCGAGTAAATCTTCAAAGGGAACGGTTTACTTTATAACCTCATCCACATCCCCCCTGGCTACGTTGTTTCACTTTCTTAACAATAAAATGAAAACATGATAGGAGCAACTGCCCATTTTTAGTTGGATATTAACTTATCAGACACCAAAAAAGTTGATGCATCGTGTGGCTGCATATTTACATGAGCGCCATCTTCACTGTATGCATATTTAAAACAAAACAGAGCCTATAACATTACTGCCTCCTTTCATTTTCATTGAAAATACAAAACATACACTCTCTTTTGCTTAATGTCAGTTTTAATAATCAATAACGGCCATTAAAAAAGTATAACATAAAATAGGTTTATACAATATAGAAAAATAAGGCAAGCAATCAGTCAAATGTGCAGAATCAGTGTACGCTTTACACTGATTAATATATTAACTTATCTTTGCACTCAGCTAGAACACATTACCTGAGAACAAGTAATGGATTCAAAACACTAAAGTCGGGAAATATGTCGTTAGAGACAACAAAGAGGAATTACATATCACGTTTAACATATATAGTGAGATGAGATCCAACGGCAGACGCTTGATGAAGAGTCAAGACATGTACAGCTCTTATTGCTGCAGTGCATGCCAATGTGTGTGTGTGTGTGTGTGTGGTCACATGATGTGCGTTTTCAGTGGGGTAGTGTAGACATAGAGGTGTGCAGAAACGCTAGGTGAAACCAGTGTGGACGCGGATCGTTTTCATTTTAAAACACTGTGTTAAAACTAAAACGTATTAGTGTGAACGGGGCCTGTCAAAACTGTTACGGTAAGTTGGTGGGGAAAAGGAGCGAGGACTCAATTGCAGGGAAAATGGGTTTTATTTACAAAATAAAATAAAAGGCAAAACAGTAAAATAAACTAACCCGAGGGGGAAAACACTAGCAAAACAAATAAACAAGCAAACAAACTTGACTGGGCAGGGTGGTAGAGATAAGGGCTGGAACACACGACAGGACAAGGAGAGAAACGATGACGAACTGGCACAGGACAGCAGACATGAGGAGAATATAAGCAGAATTAAAGTAGTTAACAAACAGGTGGACATGATAAACTAATAATGGGTTAACAAGGAGGGTGGGACAAGACAATAGATGGGAGAGCACATAACACAAAGTAGGGGTGTCAAAATTAATTGTTTCTTCGGTGCACGGCGATGCAGACGCAGACAATTCAGTATCGGTTCAGTAATAATCATAACCGGTTATTATGTACTGACGTCATTTATCTCCTATGCGCTCTGTCGCGAGGGAGGTGAGCGCGAGTATTTACAACACTCAGCCAACTGGCATAGGCCCGTGGCATAGGCACCATAGGCAAATGCTAAGGGTGCTGTATATCCAGGGGGGCGCCAGAAATGAGCGTGGTTAAGTTGGTTTTGTTTTCGATATTCCTAACACACATTCAGTGTTAGACGGCATTAACTCAAAAAAAGATCTAAAGTGTGTTTACTACAAAAAGACAAAGCTGGTTATGTTTCACAGCTGTCTTTCTTTTTTTTCGCTTGACATTACGAGCACTGCTCCGTTTAAGCCCTCGCAATATGTGTTTAGCCGAGAGAGCTCGCGCTGAGAGGAGCTCTCAGTAAGGGACCGTTGGAAAATAGCTTCTTTTTTTAAAGTTTTTTCGTTTTTCTGCTCCGCTCAGCTCGAGCTCTCCCTGTTGCGAGGGCTTAAGTGTGTGTGTGTGTGTGTGTGTGTGTGTGTGTTTGTTTGTTGCTGTCTATGTTTGTGTATGTGTTTGAATGAGAGACAGTGTGGTGCTGTGTGTCTGTGTGTTTATACAGACAGCTTGTTATAGCCTCCCCTCTAAAATATAATACTGTATATG